GCAAAAAAAATTATTCGTTGAAGAAAAAGAAATTAACTTAATTATGACAAAGAAAAAAAAGAAAGTTTAATTAATAATAATCGAAAATAGTTCGATTCGATCAAAACAACTCCCACATTTTGTTTTTCCAGGGGAGGGGGGGAGAGGGGAGAGGAACCGGCCGTCAACTAAAAAATTTTTCACCACACTTTGTTTCTTTTTTTTCTTTTTTTCGAAAAAAATTTTTTTAAACAAAAACAAAAAAAGTTTTAAACAAGTCAAAATAATGTCGAAATCGTAATAATAATAATAAATAGTTTATTGTTATGTTTTTTTGTAAATATTAATAGTTTTCAATAATAATAATAATAATAATAATAATGCTATAAATATTAACGCGAAAAGTTTTTTTAATTATAAATAAAATTAATTTTACTCGTCGTAATTTTAAAAGTGCAATATTTTTTGGTACATCGTACTTATTTTTCTTTCTTATAAGGGTTATTATTATCATCATCATCATCATCATCATTATTATTATTATTATTATTACATTTTTTTAAATCGTAAAAACCTTAAACCTAAGTTAAACAATAATAAGTTTTTTTTTTTTTTGATTTTACGCCAATTTTTTCTAACACAGACTGATCAATTAAACGCATTTGAAATTTAAATTTATTAAATATTATTATTAATATTAATATGTCGATTAATATCGTCGTCGTGAAATTTATTATTATTATTATTATTATTATTATTATTATTATTATTATTATTTTACCTTGTCACCGATAATGATGATGATGTGAATTCGATACTTTTATAAAAACGTTTTTTTCCACCTCCTCCTTTCCCCCCATTAATAATATATTTATTTTCATCGTATTTTTTTTGTTTATTCCCTCGGGAGAGAATATTTCCTTTTTGGAGGGAGGAGGGGGAGAAAGATGGGGAAAGAGGGGGAAAACTTTTTAATAATAATTTTTTTTTTTTTTGTTTTCCAGGATATGCGGCTGAAGGAAATCCGAATCCCAGTGGTAAGAATTTTAATTTTTTATTTATTTATTTATTTCTTAATTATTCATTAAATTATTTTAATATTAAACAAAATTTATTTATAAAATTATTATTATTATTATTATTTCATTCGTGTTTGTCGCATAATAATAATAATAATAATAATAATAATAATAATAATACGTGTGAAAAAAATAAAAAAAAATTGCAAACGTGTTGAATAATGATAAATACGTTTAAAAATTATTATTATTATTGCTATTATCAATTCGATTATTGTATTTATTTACGTTGGATATTGATAAAATAATAATAATAATAATAAAATTTATTATCGTGATAATAATAATTAATTAAGATAAAATACCTGGAATAGGAATAGAGAAAAAGAAAATATTTTCAAATAATTGCATAGGATAATTAATTCCTTGCAGTTTGAAAAGAAAATTTTTTTATATTTTAGTCACGTGATTTTTTGTGTTTTGTGACGTCATCATCAACGTACCAAAAATCCATAGATAATAAATGAATATAGAAAAAGTTACTATTGATTAGGATTAATAATAATAAATTAATAAATAATGATGATGATGATAATTTTTTTTTTTTATATATATATAAAATCATCAGATGCGGACAGTTGGGGTGGAATATGTAAAATCGGTGACAAACAATCACCGATAAATATAAAATTAGGAGAAATACAATCAAGATTTTTACCTGAAATATGTCACCATGATGAGTACGAAATAAAACAAAAATTTATGATAAAAAATACTGGGCATACTGTACAGTTAGCACTTCAAAACAAATCAGCAAAACCGTTTATACATTTAGGATATGGAGGAAAATATGTATTTGAACAATTACATTTTCATTGGGATGCCGAACATGAATTCGATGGTAAAAGGTATACCAACAAACTCAACCTTAAATAATAATAATAATAATAATTTTAATACTAAACCGTTAAAAATTTTTTGTTTAGGGCGGATTTAGAAATGCACATGGTTCATTATAATAAAAAATATAATAGTTTTTCAAAAGCATTAACCGAACCGGATGGCTTAGCTGTATTGGCTGTATTTTTTGACGTAAATAACGACATTTTATATAAATAATTTTTTTTTTTGTTTTAACGATCAAATAAAATTTAAATTTATTATTTTTTTTTTTTTATTGATTGATTTCGACAGCGAACGGAATCGAAAAAACCAATTAAAAATTTTTTCAATTCCATAACGGATTCATTACAATATTTAGAAAAACCAAATGAATACGTACCACTTGATAAAGAATCAAAATCAAAAAATTTATATGCATTAACCGATTTTTTACCTGACGATGTATCGTCATATATAATATATAACGGCTCGTTGACGACTCCGCCATGTCATGAAAATGTTCAATGGGTAATTTTTTTAAATCGTTATTACGTTTCCGATTCGACGGTGAGTTTTTGACTTTTTTCAATATGTAAAATGTAATTTATTATTAAATTTTATTTTTATAATAATTTTAATTTTAGCTTAAAAGTTTAAGAACTACAAAAGGCGAAGATGGTAATAATATAGAAAGTAATTACAGACCGGTGCAAAAATTAAACGGTAGAAATGTTTTTCACCGCCTTTCCGAAAAGAATGTTTTTTCAAATAGTTGTAGCTCGTTGAGAAAAAAAAAAACTTACGTTTATTTATGGTCTTTCATAATTATTACGATTAAATTTTTATCGATTTAATTTTGTTTTTTTTTTTCTTTTCATTTATTGATTTATTTATTTTTAAAAAAAAAAAACTAACGCAAATATTATTTTTATTTCTTGTCATTAACATGAAATGAGTGGAAAAATTAAGAATTCAATTAAAAATATTATGTATATTCTTTTTAATATTATTATTGTAATTAATTAATAATTAAAAGTTTTTTATTTATTTTTATGATTTGAAATCTTTTTTAAATTTTCATTAAGATTTCTTATTATGCATTTAAGTAAGAAAAATTTAATGAAAATAATGTTTAGTTTAATTGGCGTCATTAAATTTATCAGGTAAGAAAAAAAAAAAAAAAGCTTTTTTTTTATTACTTCGTAAATATTAGGATTTGACTTTTCCGGGTTTAATAATTTTACCGTTTTTTTTTCTTTTTTTTTTTACAACTCAATTAATAAATGATAAAGAGAAATATATTATAAATTATTATACCTGATGCTAGTGATGTAATTTTCAAATCTTGAATACAAAATTTTTTTTTC